CCTGCAGCCGGTCTGTCTTTCATCCAGTTTCTCCTCTGTCCTCAGATCCAGGCCAAACTGGCTGGTTCATGGCTCAGGCTCAGGCTCAGCAACAGTCGAGCTTCACAACATTGGCAGGAAGCTGCTGCTGAAAAAGCGCCTGTTTGAAGGAATGATGGTCACTATTTGACTGAGTAAAATATTCCTGGGATTTGACGCAGGCATGTCAAACTTCTGGCACAGCAACCACTCATTATAACCCACTGTGTTGTCTGCAGCCAGGGGAGTCTTTACTTATTACATTATTATTCTTAACAATTATACTTTGTTTATTTTTTTGTCATGACACAGAAACAGTTTTTTGCTGATGTGATAATTATGGTAGTGAATCTTCATCATCACTCTGCCTAACTTTTAAGGTAGTTGTGCATTATTTGAACTGCATTACTGCCACCTATTGGGTCTACGGTAGGACCACGAGATGAGTTTAATGTGTTCAATAACAGCACTCGTTTGTCAATTGTATTTTCCCCATTAAAAATAACTAAAAACGAATTTATTCGCATCAGCCCCCCAGAAATATTCTACTAATTAATTAAATAAAAATTCTACCCATCTAAACTTAAAAAACTTAAAAAACTTAAAAAACTTAAAAAACTTAAACTTAAAAAATATTAATTTTTGTTATAAAAATAGGTAAAATAAGCAAGGGACAGAGTCAAGTGGAAAAATGGACCTAACTCGTACTATGAGGAAAATCTTGTAATAGTTGCTTGCTCGTAACTTTGAAAACTCGTATTTCGGGGAGCTCGTATCTGTATACAATTAGTTTTAACATCCACCCAAAATATTTTGGCAGAATGAAAAATGAATCAAACAAAGGGAAGCATCACTGTGTATGAAACATAGTAAATGAATCAAACAAAGGGAAGCATCACAGGAACAGAAATTACAGGGAATTGATATCTGTATGTTTTTAGAATATTCCGATACCCTTCACCATGAGGTTCACATGCTAATACTTGGTCTTGAACCGATGACCACCATCGCAGTTTTTTGTGAGTCAAAGTCACTGTATTAACCAAATTTGAAGGTTTTCTCTTGAGGCTTTTGGAGGACATGTCACATTGAAAAATATGGAATGGACAGCTGAATCTAAATCTCCCTGGTGCCTGTCACCAGCCTTTGGATTTGTTGCCTCTGTCAAAACAAAGAATACAACCAGCCCTTTTATTGAATTTGGGCAACGTCTTCTTTTAAGGTGCGGGAAACAAAACAGCATTATTCACCTGAAAGCCTCTCCTGAACTGTGCTGGTTTAAAAAAAAACAAAAAAAACAGAGGAAGTTGTGGGATTTCTTCAATAAGCAGGAGTCTCTACTTTGACATAAACTTCAGAGATTTAAGGCTGAAGATAAATATTTCAAGTGCTGTCATCCTGAGGGCAGCCATCGCTCTCTTTTATAGACTCTGCTATTCATTAAGACTCTCTCACTGTTTTAATGAAAAGTGTTTTACTTAAGCTCCCACTTCTATGTTTTACAGAAACACGTCTCCTTTAGAAAAAAAAAATCCAGTTTTCAGAAAAGTGTAAGTTAAACTCTCCCTCACAGGGAGCAGCTTCATTTCTACCATTCCACTGTCTGTTCTCTGTTACGTTCACTTTTACATTTATTGTCAACTTATTCCTCCCTCTCGCTGCTTTTACAGGACTTGTTTCCAGGCATTTTAGTTCAGTGGAGCACTTTGTTATTTCTGATCTAACCCCATTGGATTTCATTTTCTCATTCTTCTGATTGTTGACTTGCGTCTGAGACACAAAAGTGTGTGTACGCCACCTTGTGTGGAGCTGACAGTGAGGTGTCCATTGTCCTGTCTCCATTAGATCTGCTCAGCACAGCGGCCACACAACCACATATTATAAGGTGCAGTCTGTATCTCTGCTCGAAAGCCCTCCGTCCAGACTGATGGAAGCTGAAAATAACAAACAAGTTACCGTGTTGAGTTGAGGAATTGCGACAATAAATCAGGCCCACGCAGTTTAAGAATGGTTAGTGCCTTTGCCTTACAGCAGGAAGATCCTTGCTGGTAACCGATGATCTTTCTGTGTGAGGTTTGGAACCTTAGCATGGGTTTTCTCTGGTTTTGGTTCCTTCAGTCTGAAACCATGCAAATGAAATGAATCCTCTACAAAAATAACTGCAAAGAATGACTATCATAAATCACTAATTCAATTAAATCAGATGTTATAGTTTTGGATGCTTGTCTCTTCAAAATGTAAACCAAGTGCAAAACGATTGCCCTGGGATCAAACCAGCAACTACATTTAAAGTTTAGAAAAGAAATGGGAGCCTTGGGTAGAACCATTAGTTTATAGTCTAATCATATGCTTCTAGAAATTGATGATTTAATTTATCCCTCCATGCGAAGCTGGAGTCAGTCCCAGCAAAGCAATACTCAATACTATCATACGTATACATATAATAAATACTTCTTCATTTTTTTAATTATTTTTTTAAATTTTACTCATACCAGCAGCAGTGCATCCGGAAACGGAAAGTTTTAATAAAATTATTCATGAAAATTCTTAAATGTGTAGATTCAGTATATGTGAGTAAACTTTTCCTCCTTTGTATTTGACTAATTATTCCGGGCCTGTTCATCACATGAGCTGCTGTGATTAACATGACTGATTAGTGTTTTAATAATAATAGCTCTATTGTGGAAGTTGACTCAGTGGAGCAGGTCACACCAGCCGCTGTGTGTGTGTATGTGTGTGTATGTGTGTTGTGGCAGAGCATCTTCTTCACCCTTCACTGGACTGTCAATCCCCCCGAGTCCCCGCCCCTGAGGAGTACTGGATTATGAGTGGAACTCAATCTGAATACAGAGCAGCTCAGACGTCAGTCTCCGACTCTGTCTGTCTCTGGGTCTGTCTGTGTCACTGTCTTATCTCTGTCTCTTTGAGATAAACGTATTCTCATGAAGCTGATACCACACATGTGCTGCTGGCTGTTCACACCTGCTGCTTCTTACAAGCCTTTCACACACACACACACACACACACACACACACTGCAGGACCACTGAAGCCTGCCATCCTCAGTGGACAGCAGGTCAGCCACGTGTTTCACCGTCATTTTTTACTGTTACATATAACACATTGATTCCAGCAGGGATGTTTTATTTCGACGTCGTGCTGACAGGTCATTTTAACCACGGCTGTGTATCAAGAACATGTAAAACACACAAACACAGGGTTATCACAACTAAGGTTTGACATCAGTTAATGGATTTAGGCTAACTCTTATTCATAATTTCATTTAAGCCTAGCTAATTTAGAGCTAATATTAAGCTGGAAATCCATAAGAAAAAACCTCTAGTTAAACAAGATGAAAGATTAATTTTGGCTTTTTTTTCAAATGTGAAATTGATGCCAAGAGTACAGCGTCATTTCATTCTGGTGGTCCAGCTTCAGTGGCTCTGTGACCAGCTGACCTCCACACTAACTCATGATCACCTATTGATTACTTAGGGGAAAGAAGGTCCAGGTTCAGGTCAATCTCCTTTTTTGTGCCCCAGACTCATTGTGTGTGAGACACATTGACCTGTGGGGGCGCTCCGGTCTCCGCTCATTGGTTTTGACTCTCCACGATGGTGACAACACTAATTGTCAACATGTGGGAAGAGCGCGGCCTCCTTTGGGCCAGCGCTGAGAGAAAGTGTCATAACGTGTCAGAGGGAATTAGCATCAGTGGTTGGTGGAAGTGGAGAGGGCAGGGGGCAGAGGAGAGGGGTCAGACATGATGAGGGGTATTAGTGAGGTAGGAGGGAGAGAGAAGGTGGGGGTCTTATTGACCTGCGACAATTACATGATAATGTGATTGACAAGATCAGCCGCTGCTGTGACTGACAGTTAATCGATTAAAGCCGAATTAAAACAGAGAAATTCACAGACAGCTTCTAGTTTCTATTGTCTTCCTTGGAATTTCAATTGACACGTTTGTTTTCTAGCTGAACGTTGGCATTTGGGGATTTCCTCATTTGGTGTTAAGAAAATAGTTCTGAGAAGCATTTATTAATATTTGATTGGCAAATCAAAGAACCGTGTACTTAAGAAAAACATTGACGGGACGCTGAAAATAAAGGTTTTTAATCTAATCATGTTCTATATTATCACCTATCACTTGGTACAGTATCGTCTCTACAACTTTTTTAAGGGTTTACTTTCTAATTTCTGTCAATCAAACTGTTAGGTTAACACTATTTAATTGGTATTTTAGACAATTGTATAAAAGTATATGTGTAAATAATAGGTAGAATGCTACTTTGCTGTAATACAGTGTCATTTAAGGATTCTTCTTTAATATGAACCGGCTAACTTCATCCAGCTAATCAGCTATTTTTGCATCATTTGAGTTCATTTTCAGCTAATCTAGGCTTTATTATAGGCTATCTAATTTGTGTTTATAGGATTTTTATTGGGAATTATAGGTTTATAAGATTCAGGTTAAGAGGAGACTACTGTCAAAAATCAATGTCAGACCAACATTTCCTGAAGAGTTGGACAAAAACATGTAAATATGTGAAAAATATAATCCCTTGAAATGTTTTTTAAAAAACAGAAATGTGTGCTGGACAACACAAAACCTAAAGCTCATACATATCAAAAACAACAAGACTCCTTTTTTTAATCTTGTAACATAAAATGTCACGCATGCTCACGTCATACTGTATGTGTCATATCTTAGGGATCAGTATTGGATTCATGTAAATACATAACAGCGTGAGAGCAACAACCAGCATAAAGGAAATGTATCGGATTATTAAATAAGCTGGAAAGCTGAAAATGTTTTTTATTAAACCAAAAAAACAAACCTTGGTTCCCGTGACATGTACAGATCCGTGGATCTGCTGAAGAAATGAAGTTGATTATCTTCATGCAAACCAGATGAACAGCAGGGTTAAATTCTGGGTTTGTCTTCTCCACTTTGACCTTTGATTGTTTCTGTTCCTCTGGCAGGAAAGTGACAGTTTGTGGTGGGACGCGTTCGCTACAGAGTTCTTCGAGGAGGACGCCACACTCACGCTATCCTTCTGCCTTGAAGATGGACCAAAGAGATACAGTAAGACTCCAGTCTACCACGTACAAACGTTTGAATAGTAGAATCATATTAGTGATATAATTCAAACCAAATTAGTGTTTAAACCCTTTACTTTGATTTAATGCTCATTTTAAAGCACATATGAACAGAATTTCTTTCTGTGCTCAAATCATCTGGTTCACTGAGCAAGTGAACTCTAGACTTACACAGTCTGTGTTTAGCTCTCTTTGGGCTAACTATTAGATATCAGCTGACATACGCTAACTTGTAGCTACTTCTTTGCCTTCATTTTGGATCACTCAAGCTAATATTGGTGACAAATAAATACAGTACTAGAAGTATTTACATTGTTGTGCTTCTACTGCCAGCCAATCACTGTTGTCATGTGAAGGTTGTGACTGTGAAAATCTTCATTTTTTAGTTACATTTTAAACTGTGAGATTGTTGTCATGCATTTGACATCTGACCGTCATAACGCTTTTTAAAAAATTGTGCCATCTGCTCAATTTTTTCATGCAAGCATCATTCTGATAAAACAGAGAAAGGAAAGGTACTTCTTTCTGCCTCGAACCTGCGCAGTAATGTTTAGTGTATAGGTCCAAGAATTCATTTGACAGCCCTAAAATCAAAGGTGTTAAATCTTTAAGTCAAGGTAAGATTTACCTGTAAAGTGTCTTCACTGCTGAGGCGCCGTCAGTGTGGGAAAATTCTCATCTCTGTTTCTCTTAACAATAGTTTCCTGTGTGTTTGTGATTACTCTAAACTGTTGCAGCATCACTCACAACTAGTTGTTTTGTTTAAATGTCACGGTGGTCCTCTGTGGTGGTCTGTGCTCTGAGAAGACAGATCTAAATTTAAACCAATGAAGGAAAAAAATCAAAATGATCAGTTACTGTATGTTAGTACTCAGACTATCAGGGCTGTGGTACGGGATATTACAGTTACAGTTGGAGGGAGGCGCAAGACAATTTTCGGCCAATTGTTCCAAACTCTAGCGTATCCTTAAGCAATTGCCTGAGCAGCTACATTTTAGCAGCATTTTCTGTTACTCCTTTTTAGCCACTTTGCTCAATTTTCTTTTTTTTTTTTAATTTCTTTTGATTTTGTTTTCTTTTGAATCATGATAAGGTATGTGTTTTTAAACGTATGATGTCCTATGGTGTGCATTTTCTGTGGACTTTGAACCCCAAAAACAGTCTGCAGCATCCAGTGACACATTACTGGCTGTTATTGGGTTTGTGATATTGTTCTTTTAATCTCATCTGCATAGACTCATGTTTTTGATATCTGACACATATTGAACATCACACAGAGATAGATAAGGACCTCAGTGCCTGGAAATAAGCAGATATAAGTCGTCTGTCTGTCTCTTCATTTATGTATTTGGTCGTGCGTCACTGGTTGTGATTCAGCCCAATCGAAAAAGGTGGAAGAGAAAAAGGAAGAAATGTAATGGATGGAAGAGAGAGGAGAGTTAGTGAAGGATTGTTGTGGAGCCCAGGCCTAGGTTTGCTTTTCAAATGTAAAAATAAAAATCCCTGGTGGTGTAGAGACGCTAACCTTGTTCCCCCGGGAACGGGAGGCTTAACACCATGGCGATGATGACTCACCATTAGTCGTGAGCCTTCCACAGTTCACATTCAGGTACTTAGAGATTTTTTTTTGGTTAATTGCTTATATACATATTAAGAGTTTAGAGATTGCTGTACCACAAATCTAGAGTGCAGTGATACCGAAAATGTTGTTCTAACATAGAGTTACACTTTCTCTTTTTCTATTGCACAAAAGCATTGTTCCAGCTCTGGATTATACATCCTTTCCCTTATCATAGGGCCTTTGACTTTTTTAAATTATTATTATTATTATTATTTATTTATTTATTAGTTTATTTATTTGTTTGTTTCTTTGTTTGTTTATTCATTTATTTGAGTGACCTGACTCTGAAATAATCTTTACTTGCTTCAGCTCTGGGGTAAAATAAAAGCTCAGAGATACAGTATGGAGTTATCGCCATGCAGGAAATGTCGCAGACCAGTGGAGACGTGGGAGTGTTTTAGCTGTGGCTAAAAAGAAGCCAGATGTTGGAGAGCTGCTGCAAACAAAAGGTCACAGCACTGGAATATGTCTTTTCACAGAAGATAGAACGTTTCAATTAAGTTTCCGGCTGTTATCGATTACAGCTGTAAAACCTCAGACTAAATTAAAGATTTGTAATTATTATTTGGGTTATTATTATTATTATTATTTTGGGGTGTTTTTGTAAATCTTTGAGTCAGTGACATTTGCCTTAAAATCAGAATATTTGCATTTATAACAAGATAATAAAAACACTTTTATTTGTAATTTAAAGGCAGTGGTCAGTGACAGACAAGACCAGACATATTTAATATATAATACTACTTGGTAATAAATTAATTATAAAATAAACAAATAATGACAATAATAAAAAAATAATAAGAACGTAAAGCACTGACAGTATTTAAGAAATAATCCTTATCCTTATAGTGTAAATACATACATTGTAACTTAATTAAAATAAGCCTGACAACAAGCTAAGAGACAGCTAATAAGTTTGCCCTAAAATGTATTTTTAATAATTATTTTCTCAATCATTCAAGTGCTATAAATGTTGTATACAGAACTTATATTAGACAGAAATGTTAGTAAATACTGGGGACTTTTTAGTGCTGAACATATAGCAATGATGCGGTCTCCAATGAAATTACGGCAGCATTTGGCCCTCTGCCTACTTGAATTTAAGCCCCCTGATTTATGGTAACTCGCAAAATTAAGGGATCATCTTTTGGAAAATAAATTAAAATTTTAAATATATATATATATATATTTTTTTGTTTTGTTTTGTTTTTTGGTGTTTGAATGTGTGAATCTTCAAACTGTCCAATCTTATAGTTCAGAGATAGCAGACCTGACAATGACTCAGCTGATTCAGCTCCCCGATGATCTGACAGCAGTTTTTACCTGCTGTCAGATCACGTCCCCACAAGTGTTTCGCCCAGGGAGAGAGACACACGAGCCCAAATCTTGTGTTTTTCCTTAATTCTAAAGCAGACATGTATGACAAACAAAAACCAGTTAAAAACATGGCATCAGCCTCTTCCCCCGACAGATTGCATTACTCCTCATATCGCCGTGTTCTTTCACAGATGTGAAGAACAGTGAATGTGAGCCGTGAGATTATTTTCAGTCTCAAATGTCATAATATTTTATAGCGTCGTTGAAAATTGTTATTAAAGTCTCCTACTGTCATGACGGTATATTGCTGTGATGAAAATTGAACATTTTCAAAGTGCACATGGTACCGTGTAGTTCAGGAGTTTGTTTCCATATCTCGATGTATATAATATTAAAAAAAAGCCTTATATTGTTTTTACTCCACTTAATAAATTCAGAAACTCTGACGTCATTGCCTAATTATGCGGCCGATCGCTGTGGCTTCAACGTTCACCCTTACTACCTTGTCTGGCTTTGCAATCTATGAGGCAAGTGATGAAAGCGTCGCCCCGTGATGCAATCAAAGAGCAAGGCTCGTTTCAGAAGTAGTTCAAACAAGAGAGAGGGAAGTGTTTAGTGCTGCTGCTCCAAGGGCCAAAATGCGAGAAGGGATTCATAACACATTTACATTTCATCTAGTTACTCTTGCACCGCGGCACGCAATAATTGCAGTGATAAAATGACCACTGCTTCTAATCTTTAAGCAAGCATGAGGGCATAATGAGGAGGATGAAAACAGGGGGAAACTACTTTAATATGTGTCTGAGGAATGAAGTGAACTCGGCCGAGTAGTGAGGTAAAGTCTAACCAGGAACTCACTAGGATCTGGGCAATAACAGTCAAATTATCATCGTTATTATTATGGAAAAAATTGTCAAAAAACGGCTCCGTTTAAATCTTTTACTCTTATATATATACACGTATGTATATCAACAGTATAATATGTAATATTAGAGGTTTAGTTGGTGTGAATGTGATTTCTAATACTCTTTAATCTACTTTAATGCTAACAAAGGCTTTTTATTCATACTTTATGTCAAAGACAGATTTATTTAGATATCGGGCTTGAATAAAGGTCATTGTTGTAATTAAGGTTACAGCTTTTTGTTAGTGAGTGATGGGACATTTGTTACCTCAGTTGGGTTTATGTAATAAATAAACTGTTGTCCGTTATTTGTGCGCGTAACTGACGTATAATCAAGGTCACTTTAGTCCTTTCATCGACTTTACTACTACAGTACCTTCAAAAGACAACCAAACCTGTACCGGGGTTCTTCTGAACACGAATGTTGACACCTGACCATTATCTGCTGTGGGTCATTCATCTTAAAGATATTTGAGGCTGAGCTCTAGGCTTTCTCTCTCTTTCCCCATGAGATAGATAGATAGATAGATAGATAGATAGATAGATAGATAGATAGATAGATAGATAGATAGATAGATTTATAGATAGGTCTTTATTAATCCCTTGTGAGTTCCCTATTAGCCATTACTTTATTTTCTTTGTTATATTGTTCCTAATCTTACACCCGTTCGTTGACAACTGTTGACTCTTGGCGTCTATTTTTATTTGCTGAAGACGGAAAGTAAGAATGGCACAGCTGCTTGACAACAGTTTGACTCAGGTCAGAGAGAGAAAAAAAGTATCAAACTACGCTCTCTCTGACGCACATGTATGCACTGTAAATAAACCTGGGTGTGCACACGCTTTTGAAATAAAAAAAAGGAACAGGGATTGTGATGGAACCTGACCCTAAAAATAATTATCAGTCCTGAGGCAGAGCTCCTGTATAGCAGCGCGACAGGGCATTGAGGGAGGAAGGAGAAGAGATAAAGGACAGAAAACAGAACACTTGCTATTGGAGGAACAGGCAAGAGCAAAAACATGTGGAAGCTGAGCAGCATTAATCATAGAGTCTACAGTCTGGGCAGATAAATACCTCCAATCTCAGCCTCATAGCTGTTTAATGGAAGGTACAGGTGTCAGCTCACAGTTTGTCTGTTTGCAA